CCGTATTTACTCGAATATCGTGAAAAATGAAATAAACGACGCGGTGTCTATTCCACTAACTCAAAATGGAGTCCATTACGTCTCATTTACTTCAACAAGCAATTACAATTTGTGTTAATATAACTACATAAATTTACAAGACGGAAAACGGAAAAAATATAACGACTACTTACAAGATTTGTGGCGACTTCGACTGTGACAATGGATATTACGAAACGAACTACTTATATACTAATTGACTTACACGATGGAATTTACATTACATGTAACGTTCTTACTTACAAACAATAGAAAACAAACAAGGTACAATACTCGTGTCTACACCTTTATTTGTCTCTTCTTAATCAGATATAACGATAGGTTTTGCACGGCGCGTCACCTGAAAGCACGATGTGAGAGTGTATTTTTGTTTATTTTTTACATTTGTACTCCATGCAAATTGAAGTTAAGGCTGTTATGAATAATAGAGAACAAGCGGCAGAAGCTTTCTGCTACGGTTTGTTTACAGTGAATGCTGCATTTCATAAAATATGTCTTATTTTCCCTGGCTCTGAAAACAGAGGGTCTCAATGGGGTTAACCGTGAGCCCTGAAACGGCTGAAAAATTAGCCGTGAATCGTCAAAATGCCGTGAGGCGTAAATATTTTTTCAGTTTTGTTCCTCATCAGAAGGACAGTCAACCCCAGGCGCGCGCTCGTAATTTTTTTTGGTAAATTTAAAAAAACATAAAAGCTTTAGTGGAGATTTTTCAAAATTTTTAAAAAAATTTTTCGGCCCCTCGGTCCGTTCAGGAATTGTTTTCACTAAATCTTTCACTCTTCCACCCCCACCCCGCCCTCAAAATTCTGATGATTCGGAAGGATGTAATTGCAAGGTCCTGCAGACAAGTCAGGGTATGGGCAAAATTTGACATTTGAGAGTGATAAAAAAAGTTATAATAACTGAGTGTCTATAACGTACAAGGGGGCACTGTGCACCCCCACTCACAATCTCTAGCACAAAACAAATTATGAAAAAGTAATGAAAAACGTTGTTTTCATTTCCAAAATTTCTGAAAGTAATTWAGTTAACCGTGTTTCGAAAAAATTAGTCGTGAGTCGTGAAATCGCCAAATTTTTAGCCATGAGTCGTGATGCGTACCACCCCATTGAGACCCTCCTAAATGAGCGGTACAAATGTGCAGACAAAATCTCCAAAACAAAACTAGCACTCATTTAGTATGTTAGTACATTGAAGACTTTGAGTGGGAGCCGATCATATAGCCACTTCGTAAAAAAAAGTCGGTTCTCGGCTGAGTGAAACACAAGAGATGACAATAATTATAGTGCAAAAAAATAAAAAAAGAAGACAAACAATAAATAAAATAGAAATGAAAAACAAAATCATTAAACGTCTGGTCCAGGGAATCGATCCCGCTACCGTCAAACCTACATTGGATTTACAAGCYYCGCCTTAACGCGGTGCGCCACTGGACCACGCTCATTTACATAATYATAGACCACTTGACACTTTCACCGAATAGACTACCCCAATTTGACATTAWACTTTCGATAGTTGCCTAGTTAGTGCAAGGGGTTATCCATCAGTGTCTAGGGGCCGGATAGCTTCTCCCTCACTGGCTTTTTAGTTAGCGCGAAGTTAGGACCAATTATCGGGATAGCATGGAAGAGCCGAAATCTCTAACCGGAATGTAAATCGATTCGCCGCCTCAGCTTCACAGAATGTCTCGGGGGAATCGTCCCAACATTTTTTCAATTTTATGGTCATGGGTTCGAATCCCACGACTCAAGTTTTTTTCTTTTTTCATATTACTTTTTTTCTCTTTTTGTTGCAGTTGTCCTTTGATTGGCTTCCTACATTAATATTTAATTGCAATATCTGCAGAATCACTTAGTAAATATTTCTGTATATTTCAATAATGTGATATTTTAAAGCGCGCTTTCANGATACTATTTTGGGGATTTATGATTAATAATTTTTTCGTGGAAATTATAGTCGCATTTCAAAACAGAAAAATCCTTATTTGAAATAGAAACTACACGCTTGTAAAGCGTGATGCGGGCTAGCTTAGCAAAAGATTCACAATACAAGATAAAAATTGTATCTCCAATGAATATTGTGACTATGACGTAACTATATATGAAAGTAAAATATGCCGTCGAATACCTTAGTTTTCTTTACAGTTCAATTCTTATCGTTAACCTTCACTGTCTGCTATAATCTTATCATATATTAACTATCAACCATAATCTTTTTGCTATAGTGATTGTCCTACATTTGCAATGTATTTTGTAAAAATATTTATGGAAGCTCTTTACTTCTTGGTTAGCGATATCACATCTATTATCATTTACATAGCAATGCATTTTAGATGGCATGAGTGCATTCTTTAGATTTTGTTTTTATTAGCCTTTCTTTCGCACAAAAGAAATCTAAAAATTGAAGCAAAACAAAGCTCAATTTCAAAACTTGTACTTTGTCATTTCTAACTAATAAAAAAKCCCGATGATATTAAAGCAATTTCTTTGAATTTAAACAATAAAAACATTGTCAATTAAACAGAAGAATACCTTTTGCTGTCTATAAATGTGGAAAAAAAGCCAGTATTTGAGCTGATTTCATGTTGAAGCTGTACTGAATAATCATCGAGCTGGACTGGTGAGGAAGGCGAGACTATTTTCGATGCAAAATCGTCTTAAAATGATAACTAGCAAGCTTGAAACTTCACAAATGCAAAATCCTAGTTCAATTCTTCAATGAGAAAGCTTTTGGTATTTCTTGTTGATAGTTTTTGAGTACTTTTTTCTCTGTTATCGGCGAAGTACCCGCCATTTTGGATTCTCGAGAAAATTTTCAGTTCGAGAGAGACTGCAAACTAATAGGCTTCCTGTGGTTCGAGAGAGACTGGAAACTGCGACACGACAGAAAAAAGGTAAAACTATAGCTGGCTAGCACAGCTAGCCCGCTTAAAAAATTTACTTTACGCACAACTCGAGCTCAACTTCCACAGGAAACTTACGTAATCAGCATTTCCAGTCGGGCCAATCGCTTCAGTCATGAGCTGGGGACATGAGGGGGTTCAACAGGTTAACGTTTTTAAGAGTTCAGGAATGTTATTATGCCCGAAATTAAAGGATATTTCTTAGGATTTACTTGTTCATAACACCAACTCCGATCCAGCTAGGTATTTTGTTTGCTGTTTGAGTAGCAAGAGATTGATTGAAAAGCGGGCATTATAAATTATAAGGTATATCAATAGGAAGTTCTCGTACTAATCTGATTTTGTTGTTTGTTTAAAGTGTTCAAAGCCAAAGAATGCAGCAATATCCCAATGTAATGAATGATCAATTGCAAGGTAATAACACCAAAACTACGTCAGAGTCTGCAAGTGCAAGATAATACGAAAATGCAAAGAAAAAGCTCTGTGCGGCGGAACAACTCGTGTAGATTATCTTAGTGTCAAAATTTGTTGTTGCTTTTTTAACTCATTTTCAGCAATGAACATCATAAAACTCAAGGTACTTGGACTGGATGTTGGAGAAATTTTTTTTTCAATTACCTCCTTTGTTTGGCATATTTTAATGGATGATGGCTCCACAGAATATTTTCATGTAGAACTGAATAGCAATTTTTTTTTTGTAAATGATCCTCACTTTAAGCAGTCCAAGTACGGTACCTTAAACGCTTGCGATAATATCATTTTAAATCTGATTATTGTATGTTGTTTATAGTTCAGCAGTCCCAAAGAGTTCTGCGATTTCCCAAACAAAGTAACCAATGAAGTCAGTAACGCGGGAACTACTTCAGTATCTGCAAGTGAAGATGCTGATACGAAAATGCAAAGGAATATCTTTGCTTAGCTTTGATTACATGTTCATATATAATGTTATATTATATAAACTTCTAATAGATATTCTCCCGTTAGAAATATCTCTTTGTACAAGTTTTTGATTATACATGTTACCAAATGAAGTTGTGTGCAAACTCCACATGACGTCATAGTTCATTACTTAATTAAAATTGTTTGTTGTAAATGTGTTGTAAAATATTCCTGTCAACCAATTTGCGCGTTCTGGAAATTAGTTCGTCGCTATTTCCTAATATGACCTAATATGGTGTACTTGTAAATTATATAATTAAGCTTGTGTTACATGTGATTAAATCAGCTCTGCCTTACCATTTGTACCATTTACCTCATAACAGAGAAGGTACAACATCAATGAGTGGATTACGTAGAATATAGCTTTTGAGGAGTCAAATACACTTAGCTTATATCTTATGCCAAGACATTAATCCGCCCAGCATAGTAAATTCGGAAAAATTTATTTCCGACCTCGCCGGGATTCATTGGAACCAACGACTCTCGGATTTGTGACCAGCTGAGGCACAGGGTCAGACTGGGAGCAGGTCGGGGTGGAATAGATGTTAGGTTACGGCAATTAGAATGTAGATGAATTTTTTTGGGGAATTCTCTTTAGCCTCCCCCAACCCAGTCCTCTCCCACCGTGATCAAAAATAACATTTTCCGTCCCATAGATTTTGTACGACTTTATTCTAACTGTTTTTCTCATATCGTTAAGAGTAAGTAGTATCATTTGATTAATTTGTGGATCGCTCGATTGATCGATTCCATTTTGATATTTTTGATGTACCTGAACCATAACGTCATCGTTCGGAATGTCGAAAGGTTTCCGATTTACGGAGGAGCAACAGGATCAGTCACCAAGAGAAGCCGTTCCTGTACAGCAGAGGTGGGAATATGTCTGATGCGCATGCTCTTTTGATCGTGTAGTTCTTGTCTGTAGTATTTGAATAATAATTGGTACCTTCATGTACCTTTATTGATCTCTTCTGCTTTAGATATAGCGAGAGGTTCTGCGCGCCACCTGCAAGTACCATGAGAGATTTATTTATTTTTCTATTGTTTATGTCGTTGTCATGCAAATAATAGCAGGAATTAGCCGGAGGGTTTCCGCTACGGTTTGTTTATAGGGTATATAGTATATAAGGCATAAAATAAATAGGAAGTTCTTGTATTATTAATATGATTGTACGCTTGTTTGTTTTGGGTTTCAGAGCCAAAGAGTTCGCCGATYTCCCAATGTAACGAATGAYCAATCGCAAGGTAARACCGAAACTACGTCAGCGTCTGCATGTGAAMATAATACGAAAKMGCAAAGAAAAWGCTCRYRGCGGCGGAACAAGTCGTGTACAATATCTTAACCTTGACTTCCAATGCTTTTAATTCAATTCTAAATAAAGCGAATAATAAGCTAAACTAAGCGTAATAATTTCATTTTACTTTTAGGATTTAAATACACATTGTTATGACTTAAACAGAAAAATACTAAAACATGTTTTACATGCAATGCCATACAGTCAAGTCACCTCAAGGTATAGACCTGTTTTATAAAAATAAAAAAAATGTTATCACATATTATTCATTTGGAAAAATGTATGCCTTAATTTCTCCCACACGCAAAGGATAGTGAAATGACACACCAAAGATCACCAAAACGTCAAAACGTTTGATGACGTTCGGTCTAACGTCATAAGATCTTCCCATAGTGTCTCTCACCCAACTAATGAATATGATATCACGCAAGGCTTGTAAATTATTCATAGCGTAACCTGCTCCCACCGTAAAAGGGCATGCGGGGTTATTCAACCAAACGATCTCCACTCAATCGCTTCTAGCGATGGATTTCGTCGCTCAAAATAAAACCAAATTGACGGTCATGGAGAACATTTTACACAAGAGAAGTACTTGGTTGATATTCCTGGAATCTTTGGTCGTAATTGTTTTGAATTTATTTGCTCTGATTGGAAATATCTTGATTTGTTTGGCAGTCTACAGAAAGCCATCTCTTCGTACCATCACAAACATGTTCATTGTAACTCTAGCTATTTCTGATGTGATAATGGCTTTAGTACCCATGCCGCTGAGCGTTGGAGCACTCGCTACGAGCGACTGGCCTTATGGATTTACAGCTTGTCAAATTCAAGGTTTTACGATCCATGTACTCGTCTTTCAYTCTGTTCAAGTGATCACGCTGACTGCTCTTAACCGCAACTTAAGCGTGGTTCGTCCTTTACTCTACAAAAGGATATTCTCAAAAAGAAAAACTTTAGCTATGATAATAGCTGTTAATGTCATATCCGCCGCTGCTATGTCTGGTTTAATATTTCTCACTTCATCTTACTTTACATTTCATCCAGGAAAAGCAATTTGTGTTTTKACTTTCAAGTCAGTATCGCACAGTCAAGTCTTTACAATTTTATTCGCTTTAACATTTATCTTAATCCCTTTGGTAATTATAACGTTCTGTTATGCGAGAGTTATTCAAACGATACGTAAACACAAYCGCGAATTTAAGTCAGCTCGTGGGATGCATGACTCATCTTCGCGACTTGTGCGAGAGGAGGACAAATTATCCAAAATTGTTCTTGCAATCATTGTTGGATTCGCTGCCTGCTGGGTRCCTTGTGTGATTATTGATGTTGTAGACACTCGCTACGATGGCTGGCTACCGAGACGTGTATATCTCATCTACACGTACTTCGGGTATGCCTCGTGTGCTATCAATCCCTTCTTGTATGGCTGTATGAACAAGCAAGTCAGACAAGAAATAAAACAGATTGTGACTTTTTGGAGAACATGAACATTATGTTCTCGAAATGTTTCCGGTAGACATGGCTACAATGGAGGCCTAAAAAACTTTCGCTGTTTAGTTATTCTAGAGTCTAACCGGAAAAATGAATTTATCAAATATCTTGGTTCTTTTACATAGAGCTGGTCAACTACACTTGACTATGTATAGATATATGAAATTCAAAACAATATTTAAGTACAGGTCAATGAAAATAAGTATTTTAAAGTATATAGATGGAAATAATTAAAATATCGGTGATTGGAAAATGACAAATTTTACTTGACTGATCGTCAACAAAATTTAATGGAAATTAAGGAAAAAATTTTATCATATGATTATCTATGAAATACCTATATTTCTCCATTTCGTAAACTTGATATCTTGTTTGAGTTCAAGAAAATCACGAAGTTATATTAAGGCTATCTAAACTGAAAATCAATATTTTGGGCGAATGACGTTAAATATTAGTCAAATGAAGTGAAATTTTGCCCCGGAGGCAAATATTTTTTTTATTGAAAAGGACTAAAAATCATACTTTACTTAAGTCTTAAGAGATACAAATTTAAGTCAATTCGGAAGCAAGAATTCAAAATTATTTGAAGTGCAAATAAAAAAAGATTAACAAAACTAAAAGCCACGCTCTGAAATTCATGAAAAACTCATAAATGGCTACTTAAAAACACGTCGGAGATAAGAAATGACAGTCTCGCAAATTGGGAGTAGAGGTAATAAAGGATCAGGGGAGATAATGCCGGAGACTGAAGATCATTTGATATCATTTGACAAAAGGCTGTAGCTACATATTTACTTTGCAGTAGTACATTAGGAAAAGAGTCGAAAGAATACAAATAAGACAGAAAATAAAACAGTGCTTTGAGCGGATGTGTCAATAAAGTTAGGTGCGTGGCGAATGAGGTGTAAATGGAGATAGCTACTTTGAAATTGAAATTKCGTGAAAAAGGTGTGTTTGCCTTGAATTCAATTGGTTACTCTACTTTTYATAKGCTTTTAAAGGAAGAAAATTTAACACCCCGGGAAAACGTATTTCTATTAAATCTTTGCCGAAKCAAAGCAAAAAACGTAGTGAGATATATCTTGTAGTCAAACAAGATTGGACCGATTCTGATGGTCATTTTGTTTCTCGATAAAGAAGAAAAKATATTTTCTATATATGAATTAWTAATATTTTCCTGGCAATTAAAAATGAAAATGCGGTATTCACTCGTTGCTTTTAGCTAATGACGACTGCTGAGGACGTTCGGTCGATTGGCAACTTTTGGCGGATATCTCTTGTTTGTGGCWGTCTTTTGCACGATTACAACTGGTTTTAGAAGACCGTGAAAYCATAAAAAGAAATCAACTGCCTCTAATATAACTTAAGAAAAAAACATTTAGTAATTATTTTAGTTTTCCAGGCAATTAAATATTAAAATGGAGGTATTTAGTCATCGTTTATCGAATAAAGTATCAAAGTGATGACGCTTCTCGCGAAGGCCAYYCACGCTCGACTCGGCCATTTTGTTTCAGAATCTAACTCAATACCAAAAATCTATTCTAGTCTATACTACTCTGTACAGTTATAGTACAAACATTTATTTGCCAGTATATTGAGTTAATTCTTTAAAATATCGACTTATATTGCAATTAAATCTGAGTGTAAACAATCGAGTTCTTAAAAGCGATTGTTATCAATCACTTGCATTTGGATTTGAAAAATTGATATATTTTCTTGTGGTTATTTTTTTCTAGTCGTACGTTTTTTACCATTATATATCAGTCATACATGCTAATAGGTTTTTGTTTCAGTTTTGTTTATGTATGCCGCCTATACTACAGGAAAGCCGAACACTAACATGCGGATTAGTACGTAGGTTTGTTCGTAAATCCTCTAAATCCTCTACTTTTAACTTATTTGTTAATCAGATATATACTTAGAAATTTGGCAACCGATACAAAACTACATTGACATAATTTTCCTTTAAATGTGTTTATTATAAGCGAGGTGAATATGGATAAAGCCAACCCAAAATGTTCAACCTGCCATGAAAATTCATATTTTCTTTCCGATTCTTTGTGATATAAAATTATATTTTTAATATGAACTAAACATGATGAAGATAGCGGAATAAAAAAGATATATAAGTAATTTAAATGCACACCTGTCATGTCAGTTTTAAAAATAACGTTATCAAAGTGGGAATTTCATTAATGGTATTCTAGAAAATTGTGACCATTTTCAATCATTTGCTACTAAAACACCACACTTTTGAAAGTAGTTATTTAAAAATACAGTCAATCTCATTAACG